GTATTCATCCCATCAGACCCACCAGTGAGGTGACCAGTGATTGTCAGTGTCAGTGCCCATAGGTTTCCGGCTGCAGCACCCCGGTGGGGATGATGCGCCTGCGACAAGAGTTGGCGTCCGTTGCCACCGCGGCTACGGCTGCTGCCGCGCAGCCGAGTCAGCCAGAGCCGAGTGATGTGGACTTACGTGACTGGGGCTTGCAGCCCGAGGAGAGTGTCACCTCGCGCAATGGAGGCAGAGGCTCCGGGACGAGCGATGGTCCGGCGGTCGATGCAGTTGCCACGCTGCCACGCCGAACACTGAGAGTGGCGGCCGGTGGAACGACCTGCACAGACGTCTCCCAGGTCGGTACTTTGGCTGAGGCTGATTTGTCACAGTCTGAATTCACTGCTGCTTTACTTTAGTTCATTTGGCTCGTGGTCAAGTAAACACAAGGTATATTTTTGGTTGTCAGATGTGCAGACTTCGCAAATACATATCAGGCAGCCGAGCTGGGTTATTGGGTTCGTCGACGATTCCTTTGGCCATCTGGTTGCGCGAGCGGCAGCTGTGTGAGGAGGACATCATTGTCCATGAGTGCACCGTTTACTTTCCGAAGTGGATCCTGCCGAAGTACCTGAACCAATACACTTGGATCTTTCCGGGCAACCTGTCTCCGCAATGGTTCGGGTGGCCGTGTTCGAGACCTCGCCTGTACACTGTCGGCTTCAAGAAGTCCACGTTCGCGGACGAGAGCCTTGCAGCCTTCGGTGTGGATGCACTCTACATGCAACCGGTGCTACCAGTCTCAGCATTTCTTACAGCTCCCAAGGCCAAGAGGGAATGCTTTTAACTTTCACGTTGTTGAGGAAGATACATCTTTGAGTGTCCTCTAGGCCAAGCAATTGGAGCTCGGCCCGGCGTGCAACGAATAGTATCCAGAACCTACCATACGGCCCGCAGCTTTAGTGTTGGTTTGAGCAGAACATCCCAAAGTGATGGGTGGCCTACCGGCCCAGCCCGTTCCTCGACTTGTTCTGTGACAGGAAGTTGTGGATGAGGAAAAGCAACGCGTCGCGCATCAAGTGTCAAGAGCTGCTAACACGCCGTGGCCAGGTCTGCTCAGAGGCCGGTGGGCCGGTGGGGCAGGTTGGTTGGGTGGGGCGGTGGGTGAATAGGTTCGTGGGTAGTGGTCAGGCAGACTGTGGCAGTGGCAGACATCTTTGTGGTAGCGGCAAGGCTGCGGCTAAGCACCCAGATAAGAAGAACTTAGGTCGGTTGGTGGGTGGGTAGTTTTTTTTCCAGCACAGTATACAGCGCAGGCGCAAAGAAACTTTGGCTCGATCAGTACCGACAGCTGCCGAAGTTGCAGACGAAGTTTGCCCGAGGCATGCAGTCACGTGTGCACTGTTGCGTTCACTGTGTTGTTTCGTGTTGCGTTTTTCCAGCTCTCAGGCTATACCTCGGCGATCCTGAACCTGGGCCAGAACCCTCAGAAAAGGCCAATGGCAAATGCCATCCGATGCCCGTGCCTGCTACGGCAGGGGTTGATGTACGTCATCTATCATGATGAGAGTCTGCGCGATCAAGAACGGTGGTTACTTGCTGGCGACGCCTGCAATGAACATTATGCCCCCCCCCCCCGCTCACTCACTCACTCACTCACTCACTCGCTCGCTCGCTCGCTCACTCACTCACTCACTCACTCACTCACTCACTCACTCACTCACTCACTCACTCACTCACTCAGACCCACTCACTCAGACCCACTCACTCAGACCCGTTCACTCAGACCCACTCACTCAGACCCACTCACTCACTCACTCACTCACTCACTCACTCACTCACCCACCCACTCACTCTCTCACTCTCACTCACTCACTCACTCACTCACTCACTCACCCACTCACCCACCCGCCCTAAACATAACGACAGAAGACCTGGGTTAAAGCTATGTGCTGTACACCAAGGAACTCTTGAGTTTGATGGGTTACTATCAGTATGGGCATCTGGCTGCCTCCGGCCAGCCGTTTCCGTTGTGGACAGCAGACTTGCCTGCAACTGCACAGCGTGCAGTTGCAGGCAACGCAACCTGGCCAGATGATCTACGAGGCATCTCGCGTACGTATTTTCAGTCTAGAGTTTTCTTATGTTAGTGCTCACGTCGCCCACATGTTGTGTAACGGGTATCGACTCACATGTCACATGTCACATCGGACGCCACGTCGAGTCGATGTGGTCGTGAGTCGTGAGTCACGGGCTCGTGCACGTGACGACGAGAAGGAAGGACAGTGATGATGTGCCCTGACATAGGCTTTATGTTAAAGTCCTAAACTTGGGCTTACACCCACAAACCCGCCTTCGTGTTCCATGGATGGATTACCTCGACTTAATGTTCACGGTCCTGTCGCAGCAGGATTTGCTTTAGTGTCCCAAACAAAACCGCCTTCGTGTTCCATGGATGATTACCTCCACTTGTTGACGGTCCTGTCGCATTAGGATTTGCTTCAGTGTCCCAAACAAACCCGCCCACCCACCGACCCACCTGTATGTATGTGTGTGGGAGGGTTCAAAGGTCAGCCAACAAGACGGCTTTTCCTCCTACTTTCCACCTTTCCCAAACATTGTTTGTGTGCTCTGCCTGGGTTACTAGCGCCCAAGCCTGTAGTACAGTGGTCAACGGATCGGCGAGGCAATTCTTGGCCCGGCTCAGGTAAACTTTTAAACACCAAAAAGCCAGGACCATGAAGCCCCAAGAGCCCTAAACACCCTAAACGATAAAATTTAAACCCGAGCATAAGCCTACAACCAAATCCTGATGCCTGCAATCCATAACGCCCGTATGCTTTCATCCTAGGGGATGCATGCTGCTGTGGTGGGCGCGCTATGGAGTGCCATCTTGGCTTTGTCGGAGCCAGATCCTGCAGACTGAGATGAGGAGAAGTTTTCCTTCTGCGCACGGTTGTAGTCGTGTCGTATTTACCCCCATCCAGAGGCCATAAGATAAACTAGTTTGTATGGATGATGAAGGTTTGTGTAGCAGATACTACAGTTTACTACAGCGTGCAATGGCGTGTATGCCTTGACGGAGCCTGTAAACGGCCTGCGCATTAGGACAGGGCTAGCAGAACATGGGCTTTGGCCCGTAGATCGCTGAGCAACAGCACGGCTGCAAAAGATTTTCCCACGTGTGTATGTCAATCAATTGCCCTGCAGTGCAAGTCGCCTCGGTTGCGCTTCAGCACAGATCGCCGGTTTGGTGTGTTGCGTCGTGCTGCCATGTTGCACGTAAACCACATGCTGCTTCACGTGGTCCTTATGTGGTCAATGTGGTCGCTTGTCCCACCTGGCCTTCAGGACTGTGTTTGTTATGTAGATGCTGATGGAGTGACAGAAGGCTGCAGGACTTTTCAGCTCACATCAATAAAATAACATATGGTTTCTTGTAAGTAGTTTATGCTATGTTTGTTGTTTACCGGCCCGGTCAACCGTCAGCTGCTAGCATGGCAATCAGACCCTGACTTCGCTTGGATTGCCTGGATAGCGCTCGATAGCACCATGTCCGATGATCCGGAGCGAGTTCGTATGTCTATCCCGGATGCAGATGAGTTCCACGCACAGTGCGCAGTGTGTTTCTTGAAGACGCCGCGTCAGCCCACGAGGCCCGAAACTCAAATCCGAAACTGAACAGGTTCATGCTGTTCTGTTGCTGGTAGGTGTTGCGTGACGACAGGCCTATCCAGCTATGCAGCAAGCATTGGGCGAGCAGGGGTGGGCTCTACTCCCAGGCCGAGAACATTGGAAAGAGTAACAAGTCCAAGAAGCGCAAGAAGAATGAGACTGATCTCCCCGATGCAGCAACCTTGGTTCAACAGTTGACCGACTTGGAGAACGGGGACGAAGAACAGAAAAAAACCTTCGTTGGCCACCTGATGGATTTTGAGGAAAAGTGCCATGCCAGTTGAAACTCTCGTTGTTTTGCTTGTGCGAGCCATATTATGGGTCATGTGTGTGTGTGTGTGAGTGCGCAAAGCCCATGTACCCTTAAGTTTAATCAACTGAGGTGCCCGGCCAAGGGCCGCGGAAAGGAACGACAACTCTATGATTGGGGAAAAGTTGTCAAATCAGTCACCACTGGTGTGAGGCGCCAGCGAGCGGCCGACTGCGAGCCCTTGTGCCGAGAGGTCCTCTCTGCACAGTTGAGCTTCAAATTTCGTGGTCTCGAGCTTTGTTATCTTTGATCCGCAACCTCAAATCCAAGATTCAGAACCTAGGATTATATTGACTTCTGGGAGAACAAAGCACCGAAATTCAGACGAGTCTTGGCTTAATACCCGTACCGGGGTACCTAAACCCTGTTGGTATCATTGCCAGTGACACGGTGTATTGTTTAGGTGTTGCATGTTTTGAGAATGTACGGTTTAGGGTTTGGGATCCAAGGCCTGAGCAATGAGGCCGCTAGCAACAAGTGGACGGAGATGATCAAGCGTAGCGACACCGACAAAGAGCAAATGCCATCCACTGATAAACAGGGCCGAGATGCTGGGTTGGTGTCTTGGCTGTCTGCGTAATATGCTCCTGATGCCTATGCAATGCTCAAAGTTTGCGACCTGATTGAACTGCGAAGTGCTCGCAAAGGTTTGGGTGATATGGACACCCACAAAACTCTTGAAGAGTGAGGCCACGTACGAGGCTTCACTGCATGTCGATGCAACGTATTTTTTGCAAGTACGCTTGTTGGAGCTGTGTATGCCTGCAGGACAACAGTGTATCATCACAGAATTGCTTTGAAACCAAAAACCCGGGAGATCGGCAGCATGCAGAGCTGGCAGCACACCGTGCAAGTTTGCTGGATGAGCTGGAGGTCGAGGCAGAAGGGACAGTGTTCATTTTTTTGGGGGCCTGGGGCTGCGGCTATGCTGTGCTGTGATGCAGTTGTCCTGTTTTCAGGGTCCGGGTCATGTTCCAAGTCTCAACGATGCTTGCAGTGTATACTTGCGGACAGAAAGTAGCTTTTCTTGATGCCCCAGGAGGGCCTGACGACGGGATGTCTGTCCACTTCCGAGGGCCCGGGCCCGAGCAGGCCTGCTGCCAAAGTTGGTAACCGCAAGTCGGCATCCGGTAACAGAGAGCAAGCAACCGCCAAAGCCAAAGCCAAAGCCCGAGCTGGTGCTGGCGCTGGCGCTGGTGATGTGCCGGGTGTGCCGGAAGCGATTGCCAAGTTGCCAGTGGCTGCAGCGGCTGCCAGGCTTCGCGCCAAGACTATGCGGGATTACAGCAACATGCAAGTTGTGTTGCAGAAAGCCCTGGCCGCATGCTCCGCATCGCTTGGGGGTTTCCCCAAAACAGATCCTGCCGATGGAGATGACAATGATGAGGTTGAAGATGAGAATGTGCGCTCACTTCGCTACCGCTTTGACTTGCTCACGCGTTTCTCCAGCAAAGTTCAAGTCAGGACGAAAGATGCTGCCAGCGTAAAGCTACAAGGCGAGCTTTACGATGGACTCGGGCATGATGCCTTCTTGAAGGAGGTCATGTTGTCTGAGAACTGGACAGCAGCATCATGCTGGACGTTGGGCATGATAGAACATTTCCGCAGCGTGGAGATGGAGTTGCTGGGCAGCTCGTCACAGGTCTACACCCGTCAGGTCGTGTGTGACGAGGCAATGGGCATCATCACGCGTGTCAGCAAGGCCCTGCTGCAAGATGTGCAGCAAATGGAGGCCGACCGAGCGGCTCACGAGAAAGCATTGAGAGAAGAAGAAGCTGCTAAAAAGATGCTTGTATGCAGATTGTTAAGGGGTAAGGGTTTAGGGTTAAGGGCTTAAGGGTTTAAAGGGTTTAGGGGTTTAAGGGTTTACGGTTCAAGGGTATAGGGTTTAGGCGGTTAAGTGTTTAGGCTTAGGGGCTTAGGGTTTAGGGTTTTGCGATTATGCTTTACTCTCCAGAGTTCTGTAGATTCAACTCAGGAAAGAAGCCGCCAAGCGCGAAAAAGACGCAAAACGCGAACGAGATAGAGAAGATAGAAAGCGGAAGGCTGCGGATGAAAAAGCAGCAAAGGCCGCCCAAGCGGCTCAGGCAGCCAAAAACAAAGCAGAGGGCGAGGGCGAGAACGGTGAAGATCCTGAGAAAGATAGCAAAAAACGAAGAAGACAGCGTGTGCCGGCAGAAGCTGCTGTGGGCGAAGGCATCTTCGCAATGACCGTGCCAAGCGAGAGCCAAGCAACAGTCGCTCAAGACGTGAAATCGTTTGCTGCAAGTGTCGTTGCAGCTCGGTCAGAAGTGGTTCCCTTGCCTAGCGTCGTATCATATCACACAGCACACATGCCGATGTGCAACATGACATGTGTCGTAGCTGTTCAGTGTTGTCGTGCGCGGTGAGTGTGGCGTGGTTTGTCTTTTTTTTTTGCTGAGGCGGACAATGTGCTGACGGTGCTGCGCCTGCGGAAGGGACAAGAGAAGAAAGTGATGGATGCCGCACCAATGGCAATCCCATCTGAAACCAAAGCTGGGTATGTGAAGACCATCAACACTGCAGCTAGCATGGACATGCAATGTGTGTCATGAGTTTGTACTTGTCGTGGGTACCTCAGTACTTCATAACATGTTTGCCGAAACATGTATGCTAAGTCCATCGTTGAGTTCGCCCAGAAGTTTGAGTCTATCGCGGCCACCCGACCGCGAATCACATCACTGATGGAGTGTCCAGCTGGAGTGCTGGGCATGGATGCCTTGTTGATGGCGGAGGTTGATGCTTGTGTCCAACATGCTGCTAAGCCGTCCGTCAGTCTTGTGCTGGACCGTGGTGCCGTGACTTCAATGCGACCTGTCTTGTCGAACTATTAGTGTTGTGCAGTTGTGCCGTTGTGCCATAGATCCAGAATCAAAGCAAGCTGGGAGTGTGGGAGACTTGCTTGTAGCAGCAAGTCAGGGTGGATGGAGATGGCGAGTTGGACGACGCCCAGAGAACGAAAGAACACACGAAACTCAAGGGCGCCGTGTTGCAGGCCTTTGCAGCAGGTGCTACATATGCGGGCAACATCCCAGGCCACGTGTAGTGCTCAATGGTCCGAGCCTGTCATGTTGCGCCCTTTGTGCTTTGACTTGCACCTTGTGACAGCTGCACATGCTCATGTCATGGCAGGGAATTTGGGAGCCTTCCACTATCAACGGCAAGGATCCAAACACGTCATCGCAATCAGCTATCAGGATGCTTTGGCACATGCCTCCATTGTGCGTGAGTCGGACGCTGCAAAGGCGTCTGGGAGTGACCAGGCGACTGCCACGGGCACGTCTCCGATGATGGAGGCTTTGAATGCCCTGGAGAACATGAATGGAGAGAGCGAGTGTCCACAGGGGTTGAGACGGGTGCCTTGGCTGAGACGTGCGACGCGCCGCTGAACTCTTAGTCTTGTCATTTCTGTATGCCGCCTGCAGTCCGTGTGCCAGTATGGGGTAGGAAGTATGGAACTGTTAGGAACTGCTGCGTGACCCAATGCTATGAATATTTGATGAGTTGTGCAATATTTTCGTTTTCGGGGTTCCACTTCAAGCTGACTGCTCTGCGATCTTTTGCAAGGCTTATGTCTGTGCCGGTGATGTTGTGTACTACCCGCCTTGCACACTCATCTTGGAATTTGCGGCGCCAGCTGGTGATCACAACGTGGGCTTCAGAGTGAGCTCCATGTATGCGCCCAACGTGCCAGAGCTGCTGGACACCTTGAACGAGATGAACAGTGTATCTTCTGTGCCTCCTACTTCCAGCGCATTGTGCACGATTCAGGCCCTTGAGCGGTGGAAAGCTTCTGGTGCAGAGAGAGCTCTGCAGCTGAAGGGTGGCACACCGACCCCACTCCCGGACAACTCTTCCACTGGGTTCGCAAGCAGTGCAGTGGACACTATCTTTCAACAGAAACCCCACGAGCTTCGCGACATACTATCCGAATTGCCCGAGGCTGAGCTTCATGCGGTGGTTCAAAAAGTGAAGATGCACAGTGCCTTCAATGCCTACGTTGATTATGTCTGTGGGGAAATGGGAGTCGATCCCGGACCTGGTGAAGACCAGTATGAGTTCGGCGGTGCCGAAACTGACGTCCCAGAGGCCTGAATCTTGGAGAGCCTAAACCCTAAACCCTAA